ATATAATTGCCTAACTCTTTTACATCTATAATACACTTTTAAAATAACTATATTTGTGATTATAAAAGATCTTGATGGTGTTTGTTCTAAGCATGGCTGTAATTTATTGGTGTAACTGATTTAATACAGTGAATCAATCATTCAATTTATCCTGCCTGTCAACTGGCAATGTCATTTCTCTCCACTAGGGGGAAACATTGGCAAAGACATACAGGTTAGTGCAGTTGCTGAGTCAAAGTGAAAAACGTGTCTGAGCTGTGATTTTTATTTTTTATTTTTTGTTCTTTTCAGTTTTTATTTCCACACTTGACTTGTGCCCTCCTGTAGATGATGCCAAAGTCTACTGACCCACTTCAAAAATTTTGAGTGGTCCTGCGGATTATAAAATAAAAGAGGAGAGGAGGAACAAAGAATAAAAAGGATGAAATACTGCTTCTCGTTTTTCCGTTTTTTATGATATTTTTTGGGATTCTTTGTTATTTTTGTCAGTGTCTGAAATCAGGAAATAGCTCAAGCTTTCGTAGTTCAGGCTCTAGTTTAGTGTCGGGTATGAAAAGCGTTTTCATATGAACTTATGTTTATTTCTTTCAGCACATTTACCTAACCCACAAAGCACAATATGATTAGTGTCACTTTGCAGTACAAGAATGTGACATTGTCTTTAGAGCAAACATTTTGTGGCTATGCATTTCACTATGAATTTATAGTAAATACAGAAGATTGTGTGTTTAATTAAAATGAACCTCAACTGTGTACAAACCCATAAATACATACAAATGTGTTTGTGTGTGTAGAATCATGTCAACTTACTGTTTTTTTAAATAGTGTCAAAATACATACATGACAAGAGACTTTGCAAGCCAACAAGTGTTGGATTAATTAGCTTTATTTAAATCCAAACATAATAATCTTCAACTCACATGGCTACACCGTTTGTTTCAGATCATAAAATGTCTAAAAGTCAGTCCTGTAGTAAAAACATTCGCTGATCCAAACCATCAGTATCAAAGAGCCTCACTTCTACTTCTCATTAGACTTTACCGAAGGCTGTAATTCATTCATTTATAACATATTTTATTTGTGCTTCAGAAGATATGAGAGCTTCTGATGCAGGGGGCTGATACCCAGACACACTTCAGCAATCGACATCATGACAGCTGCCTGCTTTGCTGTCTGTGTTTTGAATAATTTTGAATCAAATTTATTTGCATAGCACATTTAAACACAGCTGTTGTTGGTCAATGTGCTGCACACAAAAGAAACAGCAAAACGACAGAATGCAATAGTCCATAAAAGCTAAAATACACGATAAGATGTCAAATTAAACCAATAAAATAACGCAAATCAATCTCCACTCTCATGTTGTATTAAATGTATAAATGTGTTTTAAGACGGGATTTAAAACATCCAAAAATTGAAACCTGTCTAACGTGAAGGCAGCTGATTCTACAGTTTAGGAGCTACAGAACAAGTGAAAAGACCTCCTCTGTGGACCAGCCTGGACCTCAGGACCACTAAAAGCAAAAATCATATGTGCAAGGGCGACATCTATTGGAAAACTTCATCATTACAACCAATTCAGTGCCACTGAGACACTTTTATACAATTTAGTAATTTTCAGTGATTAATCTAAGAGCTGATTTGAGAGTTTTTATTTAAGTTAAGAAAATATTTTATTTTTTATTTATTTCTTTTTTTATCATTATCATTATTTTTATTAGTATTATTGTTTTGGTGGGCCAGATGACATTTATCCACAGGTTGAATGTGGACCACAGGCTGCCAGTTGCCCATCCCTGGGCTGGATGGTATTGAAGTTCTAAACGTTTATCTTACTTAAAGGGGATTATTAAATTATTGTTCACAGTAGTTTTTTTTATAGTTGTGCCTCCCCAGACTCTGCTCTGATCTTCACAGATCTAATCTGTTTTTTTTTCTCTCACCACAGTTGGAGGGATTTCTCATGTTAGGCATCAAAGTGTTATAGTAACCCTGCTGATGATCAATGCCACAAGACAAATTACTTTAACCTCCTAAATTAAAAGTTCAATCAAAACAATTAAAGATCGAAAATGAGACATATGAGTGACATGAATCTCCACAGTGGCAGTAAATGAGAGTAAGTCAGCAGTGAGACAGATGCAGCAGATAGGCTGAGTGTTTAGCTGCTGCTCTCTTAACGATTGTTAACAAAAAAAGAAGTGCATCAAAACTGAATTAGATTAAAAACATGTATAAAAACTACATCTCAGAAAATGTTCTCACAGTACAAGTTGTCACTTAGTGCCATCAATGGTTGTAATGAACAGTTTTTCATATCAGACATACGCTCTTACTTCCCAAAAAAAAAAAAAAGCCTTGAGCAAAAGCTTGCAAACAGTCACGCACAAACAGAAGCCTGTTCGAACATTTCATATGCACCAGCCGCAGGCAGGCTGTTTTTCACCCGCTCCCATAGAGCCGAGGATAATGAGGGAAGATTAGTGTGAGCGGCTGGTGCCTGGCGACCCCTTTTCTGAGAGAGTGGCAGACGAGGATGCTGGCTCTCAGTGGCCCTCGTCAATTAGAGCCTCTGCTCTCACAGGCCGGGCCTAATGAAGAGGCCGGAGTGAGGAAGAGGAGCTGAGCAGGCAGGGATTGATCCTCAGATTGGTGAGGGCGCAGCTGCAGGGGGGACATGGGAAAGCCTAGGGAATAAGGGACTGCATCATCTTGTTTTTTTATAATACTGTATAAATATCAAGTCTTTCATTTAAACTCTTAACTTCATTATTCACCCATTTTTTCATTGATCTAACATCTGCTCAAAGATGCTGTGTCTCCTTCCTTAAACCTTAATACATGTCAAGTAAATTTTGAGTAGATTTTCTTGTTTCATTCTTGCGCTCACATTTTGATAAAACCTGTGGTGCTGTGAGAATGTAAGGCTGGAAGTTCCTCCCTTCATGCCAACAAAAAATAAAAAAAATCTGTTTCTAAATTCTGTTCATGCCGACTGACGCTCGGTCGTTGATAAGGTCAGGACCTCTCTGTCTCCTCCTCAGTGTTTCTGCATCCTCACAGTGATCTGCATGCTAACACAGCTAATTGCTCTTTCTTGTTTTGGATTAGCATTCAGATGGAAAGGGGCAGGCCAGAAGGATGGTCCGTTTACGACCTGGATTTATGTTTGTCCCAGTTTGTTAGAGAAAGTAAAACACAATTTTCAATGAAATAACTCAAAACTGACAAAAGTGATAAAAAAAACTTAAATCAGTTAATCGAAATCAGACATTGCTTCTGAATTTTTGTTCAAGCGAATTATTTTAAAAACAATCATGAAAATGACCTCAAAAGTCTTGACAGAAAACATTCAAGATAAATGTGAGTTGCACTACTACTGCTGCCTACTGCAGGTAAAATACTGACTAAAACAATCTAAACAAACAAAACTTAACACAAAATGTAAGGAAATGTGTGTTTGATAGATTTTTTTCATAACTATGTTTGTAAATAAGTTGTTTAGCAAAAAAGATTTGGCAAGTTTTTCAAGTGAGCAAACCACATACTCAGCTCTGCTCATCCCACAAATGCACGTTCCTTACAAATGTGCCACCATTTATAAGGGAATTTAACAGGCTTTCCAATGCTATAAGATTTATTGCCTAGAAGCATTGTTCCAACAGAGAAATAATTTACCAAATGTTAAATTTTATAGGGGAGTATATTAAGCCCCCTGCTTCCATACACAGCATTTTCTTAACATGAACAGATGTTTCTCACTGTCAGCAGATGTTGGCAGGTATGAGGTAGACTTCTGGTGTTCTGTTTCAAATGAATTAACTACACTGCCT